TATATATAATGTGGATGCACTGTATATACTGTATTTACACCCATGCACCTTTTCTTCTTTTGGCACCTTCTTCATCTTTTTGACTATTTGAACCAATGTAATTACTAAATTTCTCCACTGTGAGAATAATAAAGTATATCAATCAATCAATCAATTAATCAATCAATCGATCTGCCACAGAGAACTTATTAAAGACAGGTTATATTTACAGTCAGAGTGTTCCCTAAAGTATACCTAACAGTTTATTTAATTTTGCTGTGTATTTCATTACTATTAATTCTACTTCTGAGGCAGTTTGCTGTGGGCGTATATGGGATTAATTTTGTTCCATATATTTTTCTCTTTTTTCGCTTGTTTTCCTGTTTTGTTATGTAACTTTAAAAAAACAATAACAAGAAACCTACTGCATAAGCAGAAAGAGTGAGTGTGATCTAAGAGCAGCTCATTATAAATGCATATTGTGAATATATCTGTGACGAGGTATTATAATATTAAAGCCTCCGAACCTGTTTGGAATCCAGTTTCTTTTGGCCTGGTGTTATGATCGTTGGCTTGTCAGGCGGAGTAGTTAAAGCCCACACCTTAAACCGATTACAGTGTTCAAGGGTTTGGATACACAAGGAAAAGAGCAATGCCAAAATGTTTTATCCTTGAAATAGTTACCAGGTTATTAGTATCATGGTATTTTGAGGTTTTAAAAAGCTACAGTTTTTAACATTTTCAAGATATTCCATTATTTCGTGCCGATGGGTTGAAGTCCTTTTTCTCTGCTGTCTGGTCCAGAGATTGGTTAAGTAATTGGCATCTGCAAGTTATCCATTAACAATTCATTGATCTTTATGATTGGATGAAGATTTATTGATAAGCAGCCATATAGGAAAAGCGTTCCATAAAAAATAATAAATCGCTGTATTTAACCATGTATTTTGTGAGCTGTATTAAATGCTGACTGATTAAATAGAAAAGGTGTTTTCTTACACATTATTTGACATATCTATGAGATATAACTAAACAGGAACCTATTAGTTAACTAAAGAATAAAAAGTAAATATAAGAAATGTATAAAATATGTAAATAAAATATGTGAAACACTTAAGATTTTTAATGTTCAAAACTATTATTAAAAGACAGGGTATGTTGCTCCAACATGCAGTCAGACTTTTTGCCAATTCAATTCAATGGAGTGGAAAATAACTGTTATACTGTCTATTACCGCTTTCCCATTGGCCGACAAACCTGTTTCAACCCGCGAACTATCGGCTTTTAGTGGCAGTGGGAACAACTTAGTGACGCGTGTCTACTCCGGTCAAACGACTCGGAAAGCAATATGTATGTCACAACATTTTTCTGGTCACATGTTGAATAACAAACCCAAATAGCTCTGCTTGTTTTCGAGAAACATGGCAGAGCACTTGCAAGATTGAGAGATTTGTGAGCTCCTTATGATTCGCGGAGTAGAGGAGATTCGTCACCAGGTTTCAGGCACCGTTTGAGTACGCCCTAGCTCCCGATACTTCACAGATTTCTGTCACACTGTCGACATCAGCAACGCTTACCCCACATGATGTCGCCATTAGACACACAGTGGTGGGGGACAGTTACCACGCTATCTAGGGTTAGACCTGGCTTTTTGGTCAAATGGGAAAAGAGCCAAAAGCCGATTGTTAGCAGGTCAACCCGGTTTTGAAAAAAGCAGGTTTTTAGTGTGAAAGTGGCTTATTTTTGTTTCTATTAGAAATCCAATGCAGGGAGAGACTTTGTGCTGTTAGTGGTGCTTTAAACTCTCAGAATGTTATTATCTGACTCTATGATGTGCATTAACACACTAAAGCTTTTCCATTCTATCCTGCTAATTGCTAGCATGATAGGATTTTACCAACCTTTTTTACAATGCCATTAACTTTTCTTTTCTTAAATCTATTTCAATCCCACCAGAGAAGTCAATGCTGCTTCTTCATGCAGTACGACTAAATGGACACTATCTAGATGATAACCTAAAGAGCTTATTTAATGTTTATATTTACAAACAGAACCGCATAAATTCTGCATCTTTGTTGCCAATAAGAATCATAAATATTCCCGGACCGGACTTTGGATCAAGCCATGTGTCTCCCCTGGCATTCCTTTCTTTGTATTGGCATTGCTTTTACTGCAAATAACTAGTGTTGCACCAATACAGATACCAGTATCGGGCGGAGCTCAGATCCAGCACTAAAATGGTGGTATCGGTATCGGCAAGCCAAAAAATAGGGCATTCTGAGAGCCAAAAGTTTATTAAACTATTGTCACCCATTCCAGGAAGACAATAAAAAGTTCTACTGGATTCACTTTGTATTAGTCTTTACCTGCTTCACAAAGGTAGGCAGCAGCTTGACAAAGCCATGATGGTAATTATTTTACATCCAAGTAGTATGCAATTCTTCATATATACACACACATCAATTTCGAACAGATGATATCGGTATCGGACGATACTGCACAGCCAGGTATCGGGTATTGGGGCTAAAACATGGTATCGTTGCTACATTACAAATAACAGTGTGGCTCTACTTAAGCATAAAGAGCAGTGCCCTTTTTGTAGACGTTGGCAATATAACACTGAAAGAATTTCCTTTTAAGCAGATGTTAGCAGTTAATCGGATTGTAACAAATTTTAATCCAATAACCCATTAATCAACAATTAATTGTAAGTTGGCTGTTTGTTTACATTCCTAAGCGGAACTATTAGTTTGCAATTTCAGACCAAGCATTAAAGACATACATTTGCAGCAGATTGCTTCAAGAATTGCATTGCTCTCACGTAAGATAAGAGGATAATAAAGCCCAGAAAGGAAAGTCTATGATATCGATTGTTCAAGACCATCTTGTTAAGAACAAATGCAATAACAGCAACACAAAGTTTCGGTATTCATTGGTAGCGCTCTGTTGCTACTATGGAGTTACTTCACGTAGCCCCACAAGACATTTTCAGACATTTTGCTTCTATTTCTTCTTCTACTCTAATGTGCTGCTATCATCTGATATACATTTACACCGCAGGTGAACCACTCCTGTGTTTTTATGAACCGCACCAACCCTGTTGGGGAGCCGTCTTTCTGGTCTGTTTCAGGTTCTTTGATCATCTGCTGCAAAAACCAGACTCTGGCAACATAAAACGTGTCCCAGCTGTTTGTCCCAGAGAAGATTTCATGACGTCAGCCTTAGTCGGAGACCTCATGCAGCCAAGGAAAACATTTTCACGACCCAGACACTTGACAAAGACGCTGTCACTGTGCAGATTAGCTGTTTATTGAGGCGCTTTGTCTGGACTTTGAGCAGAAAGGCTCATACTCGCATCAAAGCCCGCTGATGTAGCGCAGTTAAGGTAGGCACTTCCTGGAAAGGACTGATAATTGGTGTTCTAGTTTAAACAGTGATGGCTAATCATTTTCATGGCACAAATTCATGAGGATTAATCAGATTGCATAAATTAGGTGGAATACAACATTGTGAAGGATTTAAATAAAAAAAAATGCTTTGCAGCAGATAAAAGATAAAGGCAAGTTGATTTTTGCATTATATAGCCACTATGACTCGGTAACAACCTCCCTCAGAACCTG